CAGGGCTAGGTTCCGAAAATATTTACAACACTTAACAACTAAAATATACAAGAGGTCCATAAAACAAACGATCACGTTGCACTGTCACGAGCGGGTACGGTAGCGGTCGAAGTAGTTGCTTGTCGTTAACACAGGAATACCATAAGCCACCGAAGCGTCTATATGGAACCGGTTAGACTAGCTTACCGAACTGAGCTTGCTTCCTTGCGTTAAGAGTATGTTACAAAGTATTGATTTATTTGAATTTTACATTTTATTTAAGAGTCTTCTTTACCCAAGCGCAACTTTTTTACATTATAGTATATAGATGATTATAGTTGCAAGATACAAGATGATATTTTTGCTTTGTCAACTCCTGTCTTGGTCCTTAGTTAGTTCCCGCCGAGACTAAGCAGCGGCGCCACTTGTTACACTAAAATTGTTGATTTACCGCCCGCCAAGATACAGACTTTATTTACAAAAAATATGATTACATTTTTTGGGGTCATGTTTAGAATTAACTTATCTAAAAAACTGTCGGTTTACTTTTTCCAAAAATCGTCTTGATCGCGAGTAAAAAAATGAAACAGATTAGCGCAATAATCGGTGCAAAACAGCTAATCTTTAAAAAATCGATATTCAGTTGCTATACACTTTTAAAAAAAAATAGTCCGAACATTTTGTAGATAAAGGTCTAAATTTATAAAATAGTTCTTAAAAAAAATGTTTTTTCGATAAACAACTTGAGTTTTTATGGCGGGCGCTCTTATGGAAATTTACATTGGGTGCAGTGGGTACAGAAGACTCTTAAGTAATTACTACTTAGAATCGCCTATTATCTCGTGTATCTCCACTTCGGCCCATCTTCCGTGTCCTTGACATTCTCCTTATTTGTTCTCTAAGATTTTAATTATATTATTAAATGTGTCTGCAAACATACGCACCTACCTACGTTTTTAATGAAAAAATCTAATTATTTAACTTTGCATAAAGCATTGCATGGATGAATGGGATATATCCGAAATATAAATTAAATAATTCCAACAGATAAATTATTCATGAGTTTAGTAAATTAAGCACAATACATAAAATTGAGAAAAATTAAATAGATTTTGGAAAAATGTAGGTAAGCAGTGACAATAATTATGAACAGATATATTTGTGAGCATAGTATGAACCTGGCGACGTTTTCTACAAATAAACAAAATTATTACAGTTCACATTCAAAGGATCATACATACGTACTTATTTTTACATCTATCGTCTGCATGGCGGAACCAATTTTTAATGCTATCAATAATGTCCTTTTCAGTGCTCTTTCTGGCAACAGCATTTTTTTGAACAGCGTCTGTAAGAATTCAATAGCTTAATAATATATTACATTCTTGAATATCTTACTTAATATCACATCTGAAAGTATTTTAATCTAATTCTTAGCGGACCGGTAAGAGCGGCTCACTGCAAAATTGAGGTTAACAGGACGAATTAATAAAAAAGGAACTTACTTGTTTAACGACGAAGACAAGCGCTGGTAGTTCACTTTAGATTTAGATTTATTTTTTCTTGCTTTATACAAACGCATTTGCAAACGTCAACATAGTTATGCTTATACATCGTGCTTGTGATTTAAATATTCCTCACTAGTATAGAAGGCATGCCGTAATAGGTGTAGTCTTATTGCCACTCTATACTTTGCAACATCCATATTTTTTATACTTTCAGGGAGACTGTTGTAGAATTTAGTTGCCCAATAGTGAGGGTTGTTTTGGGATTTGCTTGTCCTGTAGTACATTGAACGTATCTCATCACATCCTCCAGTGTCGTAAGAGTGATAATCCCTATGTGTAGTAAATAAGTGATAATTCTTTATATATATATATATATATTATATATATATATATATAAAAGCGGAAACGATTTGAGAAAAAAAGTATATTATGTACATTCCGCAGTTGTAGGGGTCCGTTTGAATTAGATGCGGGGCTTGTTGAATAGACCACATGTTAGTGTCTATTTGAACCTCATAACCTTTATTGTAAATATTGGAAACAAATTCGAAATTTTTTTTTAGATATTTTTCACCTTCCCGTTTTGTACTTCCTACTCTGTATATATAAAAATGAACCCCTGTTTTTTTCTGGTCACGCAATAACTTGAAAACGACTTTACCGATTTCATTCATCTTTTTTTTTTAAGTTTTCTGAAGGTTCTTACGGCAAAAAAAAATAAGAAAATCGCGCAGAAAATTGGAGAAAACTTAACGACTATTTTTTAAACATCGCGCGTTTGACGGTGCGACGGCAATTGTTTTAACAGCTACATGGATCGGCATAATATATCCGTTAAAAAATTAATTTATTCATTTCATAGTGTGCTGTCAATTCGATCGGTTAGTTTATCCAGATTTCAGTGAGTTTTTTGAGAAGTTTCGAGGTTATTTCACCGCAATCACGCCTTTTGTATTCAAAGTTTGGTATACCTAATATCCATTTTTGGTAAGTATTGATAGACTAAACACGTGGTATACATAGTTATACAGAAACACTAAGGGAGTCAATTTCTATTTTTAGTTGAAACTTAGTTTTGTCAAGATGCTACTAATTAGACGTACCAATATGGTACCCGAGCCCGATCGGTTGATAAATAACCGAACGAGGGAGTTTTAAAGGGGGTCATGTCAAAAATTTTAAATTTTTTTTGAGTTTTCAGTGCCTAAATGGCCTCGTGGCCCAAAAGTAAGGCCGAATTTGGATTCAGAGCACCCCTATTACTAATACATATAAACCAAAAAAAATTTCAAGTCGATATCTCGATAAATAAAAAAGTTGCATTTTTTGAGTTTTTCCTACGTCCCGGCATAGAAAAACAGGTAGTGCTTCATTACCCTCATGGAGTACAACAACACCGAATTAAGTGTTGAACTTATTAACTGCTGGATATGCTTAGTCCATTTCAGATTACCTACCTTGGAAGGTGATCCCCAAGAACTTCGTATGGTTTGAAAGTGGTATGGTTTATAGAGATATCTTTATTTTTTATTAGTGCCAAAAAGGTCTCGCAGGTAAGAAATAATGCTAAATTTGAATTCCTCATCCAATTATAGGTAACCTACGGATTAGTATACGTTGCAAGTCATCAATTTGAGGATTTCGGGGATGTAAGTCTCGTCGGCAATTTTTATATTCGAGATCCAGGGTACACTTTTCTGGCAGGCGTCCTTGTTCTCCGGTAGCGTTTCATATAGCTCGTACTCACTCATAAGAGAAGTTGACATCTCTCTCACTGTCATTACTGTTCAAGAGAGAAGCCAACTTCTCTTATGAGTGAGTACGAGCTATATGAAACGCTACCGGAGAACAAGGACGCCTGTTAGAAAAGCGTACCCCGGATCTCGAATTAAAAAATTGCCGACGAGACTTACATCCCCGAAATCCTCAAATTGATGACTTGCAACGTATACTAATCCGTAGGTTACCTATAATTGGATGAATAGCAGGTGTGGGAACTTTATCGGTCAGCCCTACCCTTAGTTATAAGGGAAAATGTACACTGAAAATTCGATTCCACTCCGGCAAAATCTACGCAACTTTTTCAACTTTGACGCTTCACCTTACTTCGAGGATGTCATCTAGGCATCCGGCAAAAAGGCATTCTTATGTAGAATTTTCCGGCCTTTCCGATGAGCCGTCGCAAAAAATTCTACGACATTTAGGAAAGGCGCTAGAGCCCTATTTTGTGGTCAAAACATGAAACCCGGAATCGAGTTTTCAGTGCCCTTTCTTTTACTCGAAAAATTCTGAAAAAATTACATGTTACTCGTTGAATTATTTCGGGAAAAAGTAGCAGGGTGAGTTTTCCAAAAAGAAGCGCATTTGGGCTCTATCCTAAAAAATCGTAAAAAAAAGGCGATTTTGTCAAGCTCTCGGAAATGAACGAAATGACGTTCTTATACAAAATAGGGCGCGAGGAATTCAAATAAAGCATTATTTCTTACCTGGGAGACGTTTTTTAGCAGTCATAGGGAATAAAAAGGGCGAATTTCTTCATTATTTGAGGTTACCGTCAAGATAACCTTCAAAAATTCAAATTAGCGGGCGATAAAGGAAGTACATCGATTGCAAGGGTTACATCGAATACCGCTAGATCGAAAGTTTACGTAGACTTAAAAACAGGGTTATGTTTTTTATTTTTAAAGTTTATTTGCAAAATTTAGAGAAGGTGAAAGAAAAAGAAACAGATGAAGAGAATGAAAACAGAAGTGAAAATGAAAACAGAAGTGTAATGAATGGTTAGTTGAATGGTTAGTGGAGGCTGCGGAATAGGTGTTCAATGGTAACGAAGCAAAAGTGTTGTTGATTAATTTGTTTGAAGAGTTTGACGAAAGCTTTTTTTTTAAGGTATTTTTGAATGATGGGGGCAATGAAATCAGGGGAAACAGCAGGGAAGAGGACATTGGCGATGCGGAGTGATAAATGTTTACTGCAACCTACCTTCGTGAAATGAGAATGAGACATGCGTGATCGAAATTTAAGAGAATGTGCAAGTGCGTAGATAGGAGAAATGTGGAGAAGAGTGCCATTATATAAATCATCAAATTGAACTTTTTGTAGTTGAAGACGTAAATTTTCTATAGACTCCTTCGTGGGATGGGAACGGTACTTCATTGCAAAGTAGATCTTCAACAAGCACTTTCGCTTCTTCAAGCAACTTTTGTCCCATCCTTTTTCTTGCAAGAACTTTGATATTTTCTTCAACTTGTCGATCTCGTTGAACAAATTGGCAAATGTAAAATGCATACTGAAATGTAATTTATTGTAACATCTTATTTATAACATTGATGAAAATTGTACCTAATTATTTTAAAACAATCTAGGTAATAGATTAACAAAATTCTATACTTAAATGACTTATTTTTAGAATATAAAAAAAATGCAAGTAGGCATTTTTTTGTCAATGTCAAACTAACACGTTCTTCTGACATGTAACTAATTACTGTAAAACAAAATTCTATAATAAATTCTGTCAAGCATCATTAATTAGTTCTCTTGATACATCATGTCTTGCGATCCTGAAGAGATAGTCGTACTGTGTGATCCTCCTGAGGAAGGAAGTGAAGGTGATGCTGAGGTTGACGTAGAACTTCAAAGGAGAGCAGTACAACACTTCAAAACTGTAAAATTTCGTATCTTTATATTTTATAAAACGTACATTTAATAATTACACAGGCATTCCGAGCGAGATGTAGGAAAGTTGCGGCTAACGAGATGTACCACAGGCTTCGTCGAAAGTGCAAATACAATCCCCGGGAATACAAATCGAGGCGGGCCTACGACCGGGTGATGAATCAGAAGGGTACCATTTATAGACGGAAGTTGATTGCCACCGGCAAGTTAAGTGATACCCTGAAGATGAACGCTGCGGAACGGTTGTTTGCCCTGCTTCCGGGGTACTTGCAGTGGGCGAAGATCAGGGTACTGGAGGACTGGAGGGAGAGAAATCGGAAGGCGAAGGACCGGTTGTACCAGTTGGTAAGCTCACATAATCACATCACCGTTCAATGCATGAATCAATTAAATTTTAGCAAAAACGACGACGAGAATTTGTTGAGCGGGCGTTGCGTTCGAGGGACACGGACCGCTTAATTATATGTTTCCTCAAAAGACCTCTTGTGCTGCAGAAAATATTCGCCGAAGGCGAAGATTTTCGACCGGCGATAAAGTTTCTTTTGGGGCAACGTATCACTAATTATGTGGTCCGGTTGGTGGAGGTGTTGCGGGAGAGTTCCACATTCCAAACGAGGGCTGAGGAATTCTTGCAGAAGGGGCGCCGGATGCCCAGTTTCGTACCGACCTTCGAAGCTGTGCATCGGGATAGTCCCTTTGTCGATGCGAGACATCCTCGGCTTCCGTTGATGTACCGTAAGCAACTGAACAGACTGATGTCTTCCAAGAAGGTGGTGGAGGCAATGGTCTGTGCAGTTCGGTGCAAGTGGAACTATCCTAAAATATTTCCACCCTCTATGACTGAGTAAGTACAACACCATAACTTACTTCATTATAACGAGGCCACTATTTTCAGGTAATTTGATTTCGTTGTGGCTCTTCTCTTCCTTCCTTTGTCTTAAATAAATCGGTTTTTACTTGCTGATTTGGTACATCCGCCTGGCAGCTGACAGATCTATAAATAGTCCATTTGTTATAAAAATACCTTAGAGAAGGAAAGATAAAGGAGGGGTAAGGGTACTCTTAAAATGTAAACAGCTGACGCCCTGAGGTACACTATATTGTCCACGAGTAAAATACATGCGGAGTTTATGCTTATGCAACTTAAAGTACAGGGAACGCTGCTGTAAACGCCCCGATCGGTTGTTCGATATTTCGTAATGAAATTTGCAAAAAGAATACGCTGCAGTGTAGTTTAAGTTGCTTATATAAACAATCAAAAGATCCCACTCCAAAGTTTGCCTATGAAATTAGATGCATTACCGAAGATCGGAAGTTTGACGTTTGTGAATGTCAAATCATAAGGTGTTTTATGAGTGAAATAGGTTATTGTCATATAGGTTAGTCGTACGGGAAATAATTTTTTAAAAAAAAGGAAGTGTTTTTATTGTGGGAGGCTGTCGATGATTTTTCTTAACGTTTCTCGTTGTTTTTTGCCGGGTTTTACAAAAGACGGTATCGGTTCTGCGCGATTAAATACTTTCACAAAGTGTTCGGCAATTTTGAATCTCCCCCTGCCCTTTAGCTCCACAATGTAATTTATGTGGCGAGTTACTCTGACCACGTCCACACCCTCGCCCAGCCAATAGCCCATGAATTTGGCTTTCGCCCAAACCAAGTCCCCTACATTTATGGGCGGTGGAACGGTGGCCAGAGGATTGACAGGGTCGGTAGCTGATGGTGAGGGCGAAGATGATGAGGAGGAAGATGAGGGCGGAGAGTGTCGGATCGGCGACGGCGATGCGGGGTTCGTCACGATGTCGTCCCACCCGGCTTGTGCGCCCGCGTTTGATGGACCAGCAACAGCTGCATCGATCGCTGCCCGTTTGTTCATCTGCCTTGAACGTGGCCTACTTCCGTCCGCACAGCGATGGACCTCAATAGCGACCGATGTAGGTGCAGGTAAGACCGTGGGCTCCACCGCTGTGTTTTGACTTTCATTTTCCATGTTCAATGCAGATGAAGGACCGACAACATCATCAATCACCGCCGTTGCTGTGTCCTCAACACCTGCCGTCGACACATCCGTCGAGGACGACTCCTGGGACGACCTTTCTCGCATCGCTTTTCTCCCCCTTTTTTGCCTTTGTGGCCTTTTTTGGTACACTTTTGGCTTTATCTCGTACCAAAAAGGGGGAAAAAGTCGGAGCGCTTGCCCCAGCAACTCTTTTGCCTCTTCTTCGGAGCCGGCTTCGGCCACAAAATCGTTTACTTCGCTTTTCTGCAGCAATGTTTTCAATATTTCGACTGCTTCTGTTGGAGGGGGGGCACTTAATTCAAAAATCGCTTGAATTATGTATTCCATTTTAGATTTGCTGTACCCGCCTTTAGCCGTTCGCTGTTTAACTCCCTCCAACGCAGCCGAGTGGTCCAGTAAATGTGCAAGGGCCGCAACAGGGGATAGGGAAATGACGTTTTTAGTTTTTAGATCGTCGAAATTGTGTCGTATAAATTCTTCTAATTTGACCTTCGTATCCCTTGTTGCGTAACCCTTGTAAAATTCTTTGCATATCTGGTTGATATTAATTTCGGCCGCTGTTTCATACTGCCGTATTATGTTTTTCAAAATTTGTAGCCGCACCGGTCTGAAGAAGAGGCTCTAAAATAAAGTAACGATTTGTATTTGTCTGTTTGTCTGTATGTCGTTCGTTTTGTACAATTAATTATAACAGGCGATCCGACAGGTCGCCTTTGGAATTTTTCTTTAATTTTAATTTGAACTTCCAAAGGCCACTCGATGGACGTTATAGATATTATAGTTTGTATAGTTACTTACATTAATTGCTTCCATGCTTCCTAAAATAATGATGTATATTTAATTAATTAAATTAAATGTAAAAATTAAATAAAAATTAAAGTTTTGAAAAATGTAATAAAAAAAAAATAAAAGTTTCGTAGAATAATATAGCTGATATAAACGTGTACTCAAAGAGATTTGGAAAGGAATGAAAACATAAGGTGAAATATTTGCATATTTGATATCAGTTGTTTGTCAATCGAACCAAATTTTAATTTTGATGGATTATCTGAACTTATCCCAGAGAAGGAGCGCGTAATTTTTGAAGGGGACCCGGTTGATAAATAACCGAACGAGGGAGTTTTAAAGGGGGTCATGTCAAAAATTTTGAGTTTTTTTTGAATTTTGAGTGCCTAAATGGCCTCGTGGCCCAAAAGTAAGGCCGAATTTGGATTCAGAGCACCCCTATTACTAATACATATAAACCAAAAAAAATTTCAAGTCGATATCTCGATAAATAAAAAAGTTGCATTTTTTGACTTTTTCCTACGTCCCGGCATAGAAAAATTGGATTCCTCGCACCCGATTTAGTATAAGAACGATATTTCTTTCGATTCTGAGAGATTGACCGAAACCCGATACTTTTGATGGTAACTTAACCACATCCAAGTTTATTAATATAACTGAAATCTAACCTCACATAAGAAATGA